GTTCCTTGCTCGCGGATTTTTCTACCCTGAAGTTGGAGACGATAAATTCCTCCGAAACGCCGGTTCACACAAGATCTACACGGCGCCACATCCCACAAGACGGCATTCGTCAGACATAAATCCATATTTTGCTTTAACAATTTATAATCCGCAGAGGGGAAGGCGCAGGCAACTTTAATTACATATGAACGCCGAAAGATTTCTCTTACATCGTCCTCTTTCAAAAACAGTGATGAAAGTTACAGCACTGTGTGTTTTCTCTGTGAGATCGATAATGCTTTGGTTGCGGTCGCTAGGTTACCGTATATTCTCTCGTTTGCTACCTGTTGCGCGCACTGATACAAAAAACTCAAACAATGGAATTGTCTCTCTCCCAGTTCCGAAAGTTTGTGACGTCTGCTCGTCAGAGACCTTTTCAATTAAGCCAATAAAAGTAATAATATTTATATATATTTAGACTAAGCGGACGAAAGGCGAAACGGTTTGTCATATATTCAGTAGATAATATAAATGGGCTCGGGTATGAGGCAGCAATCGCTTTTTTTAAATCGAGTTAATCCTTATATAAACATATGAGGGAGAATTATAAATTACAGCAGAAAGCCGATTATCTGAATTAATTAGTGCCAAATGTGGTTGGGATAATTTGATATAATTATTTCCACTCTTTTACCACGATACTCAAAACAACGCGTCCTCTTACTTGATATTTTAATGTAGCGGTAGCGCAGTCGATTCAGTCACTGTGTTCCAAGCAGGAAGGTCACGGGTTCGAATCCCGATGTGGTTATTAATATTTTCAATTGATCTAACCTTTCTAGCCGCATTATGACTATTGGGTCATCTCAGCCTCTAACAGAAATGAGTACCAGGAATCTTCTCGGGTTTAAAGCGCAGTCGGCGCGTAGGGGTGACAACTTTACCGCCATCTGTGAGCCGATTGTCTAATCAAATGTGGGAACCTCGACGTCTCATAACCCTATGGGCTCCACGACCTGTTACAAGGATAGATTTACCTTTTTATAAACAAGAAGATGGGTTTCAACACCAAACAGAACATAACACTAAACACTGACACGTCTTAATGACGGTGGTATGGAACAGGCTGCAATGAACAGGAAGGACGAGAGCGAGGGCTGACTCAGTGAGTGGAGGCAGAGTCAGTGTTACTTGGTTGCGATGGTTCGGTTAATGGGTAATTCGGATAATCGGGATTCGGTTAATCGGCACTCTACTATGTGTTAAAAAGTTTAAGCTATCCATAAAACAGGCCATGGAATCCTACAGAGTTTTGAGAGGTCGAGGCTCCCACATTTTCTAGACAATCGGCTCACAGATGGCGGTAAGGTTGTCAGCCTTAAGAGCCGGTCACCCTTTACCACC